GAGAGAGAGAGAGAGAGAGAGAGAGAGAGAGAGAGAGAGAGAGAGAGAAATTGCCATAAACTGCAGAATCCACTACACAAGGCCAATGATGTACTATAAATAAGTTAAATAAAATTTATTTTCATTGCTTATATAACACACTCTTACATCCTGTCATTGCCCATTTCATGGTGATTAAAAGATTACGAGAATAAATAATCACAATAGACTGTGGTGAAGAACACTTCCCTTAGCTTGTCATTTATTAGAATTTTAACTGATTTTTTCAAACTATCTAATATTTCCGAGTTTCACTTTGCATCTACTAACATCTATCAGTTCACAGTTGGCTTTCTGACTGATGATGCTTTTCAGTTATAGTTGATTGGTGTATTAGTTTTTTCTTTGTGAAAATAAAAGTATGTTTTACAATCAGTAGTATGCTATATCCAATGGAGAATTATTTGTCTATAGAAAAAAGTAAGTTATTTTTAAATAAATGAAAACACTGGCTAAATAGAAAAATTTTGTTTCTCAGGGACCACTGTCATAAGCTAGTCTCTTTCCTTACTTTGCCTGCAGTATTGTGGTCATAGAGAATAAAAACAAAAAGTGAAAAGCAAACAGTCTCTGAAAGAGAAGATTAAGAACATATCACTATGGTAAGAGCAAAACTAAATCTCTGGGGTGAATGAAGAAAGTTAATTGCATTGGAAAAGTTGTTCTTAGCTCTATATAATTTGCTGTGTGGAAATCATTTCCTGATACACTCTTCAGTCTCTTGAAGTAAGCAGAGGCCTCAGTATTTTGAAACATATTCTCTTTTGTTCTTAGACTCTAATTTCCAATCTCCTACCAATTAATATGCTGGGATTCAGTATTTTTATGATATCAATTTCCCTACACTAAGAATTTGAATTTACTAACACTGTCCAACTTTTCCAGTTAGACATCATCAACTTCACCTTAATTTTCACACAACAGATATCTGTCATGTTCTAAGAAAACTCTTTTCCATGCCCACCAGTCTTTCAGATCCTCCAAGACAACAGCTGAATCTGCTCTGCCTCTAGTACTCCATGTCCATCAGTGTTTGATACCTTGGGATTCAATAACAATGTTTATTGTAATAACTTTGAAAAGCAATAGTAGTTGGTTTATGTCTCATTT